AAAGAGAAAAAGAGAGAGGAAGAGTATCACCTTAATAAAAAGACAGACAAGACACAAGAGATACAGATAGACAAATAGATACATAGATATATTGTCAAATATTGGAGGCGACAATCGGCAATTTGTAATAGAGATATAGCCCGTTAGCGTCATGACAAGTTCTTCATTATTATTATTATTATTGATTATTATTATTTATTATTATTATTTATTATTATTTATTATTATTATTATTTATATTGTTAAGACCCTTCAAACATACTGCTTTTATGCCAAGGCTCTGTTATTTTCATTCCATTGCATCCAGCTTATAATTTGCGCGAGTATAATATCATATTATAAGTAATTATATATATATTAATAATATGTAGTTATAGTATTAGTAGTAGTAGTATATACAATTATAAGTAATTATATATATATATTAATAATATGTAGTTATAGTATTATTAGTAGGAGTAGTTGTTGTAATGGTAATAGTAGTAGTAGTTGTTGTTTTTGTTGTAGTAGTAGTAATTGTTGTAGTAGTTTATAATAGTAGTAGTAGTAGTAGTAGTAGTAGTAGCAGTAGTAGTTGTAGTTGTAGTTGTAGCAGTAGTGTTAGTAGTAGTAGTAATGGTCGTAGTAGTAGTAGTAGTAGTAATAGTAGTAGTAGTAGGTAGTAGTAGTAGTAGTAGTAGTAGCAGTAGTGGTAGTAGTATTAGTAGTAGTAGTAGCAGTAGTAGTAGTAGTAGTAGTAGCAGCAGCAGTAGTAGTAGTAGTAGTAGTAGTAGTAGTAGAAGATACAAAGTAACAAAACACAAGCGATAAAGCTTCCTTTGAAGATGTAACTTGAATAAAAGGCTATGTTAACATTTTTGAAAAAATAGACTGAGTGAATTAAGAAAAAAATAAGCGAGTGATTGATTGAATGAATGAATGAATAAATAAATGAATAAACAAAATAAATAAATTAAAACACAGTAAAAAAAGCAAAGATAACAAAGAACTTAAAGTAAACCGACGAAAATATGAGAAAAGAAAGAGAAAAAAAAATTAGGCGCTAGAAGAAGTTCATTGGTATCAGTCGGTGTACGTTTTTGAACTCATCACCATCATCATCATTACTATGCCCATCATCATCACCATCATTATCATTATCTTCATCTTAATTGCTTTCATTCCGATTTGATATAATATTTCACTATATGTAATAATGAGAACATTCGCTTATTTCCATCTCAAAACGTATATTGTAATTATAAAGTTAAAGTAATCAAACCCATAATGTAAATTATATAGAAACTCTACTCTACAGTGCTCGCCTTACATTTTATATGGGCAGAGAGAGGAATAGAATCAGCATTAAGTTATGTTCAAATCGTGTTCATATCACGGTAAATTGCGTAAGATGACGATACTACGGAAAAATAACGGTACTACTACTACTACTACTAATAATAATAATAATAATCATCATCCACATTACTACCTTGAAATCAAGATGGCTGGCGTCCTTATAAAAGTTCCAAACCTTTGAATCGTTGCTGTACGATATTCTGAATCGGGTGACCCAGTGCTTCTTGCCCCCGTCACCCCTGCCCCTGGTCAGGAGTCCGGTGATTAGGGTCGGTGGTCCCACGTCCATCTGCAGCCATTGATTTTCTGATGGAGAGGAGGAGAAAGAAGAAAATGAAGATGATGATGATGATGAAAAAGAAGATGATGATGATGAAGACAAGATTGTCTTGCAAACTGTCAGTCAGTCAATCAAGCAAGCAATCTATTAACCAGCCAATCAACTAACCATCCAACTGACCAACCAACCATCTAACCAACCAACCGATCAACCAACAAACTATTCAACCAACGAACCAATCAACCAGCCGACCAATCAACCAGCCGACCAACCAACCAACCAATCGATCAACCAACCAACCGATCAACCAACAAACCACTCAACCAGCCGACCAATCAACCAGTCGACCAATCAACCAACCAGCCAATCAGCAAACCCACCGTTATCTTCCTTAGCGCACCAGGCGTTGTTGGTGACGATGTAGCCATCATCCGCTGCACACGAGGCACCCTTCTTCGGACTTCGATCTCCAGAGGAAGAAAGTTTCCCGAATGGTGGCAGGCCAATCGGGGATTTACACACTGATGAAGACGACAACGACGACGATGAAGAAGACGATGATGATGGTGATGATATGAATGACGACGATGACGACGATGTGGTTGATGATCACCAACAAAAACAACACCCCACCAACAACAAACACACAACAACACAACAACAACAACAAAAACGGGACTGACCTTGACACCCAATGACCTCAACCCTCATGCTAGGGTGCATGTTCCAGTGGACAGTCTGAAACCGAATGAACCTCGCTATGACAGGCTCGTCCAAGTAGGAATGCTTCACAGAATGCGAGTTCGAATTCCCTTCAAACACCTGGATCCAGTGAGGGAGAGTGAAGGAGAATGAGAGAGAGATAGAAAAAGAAAAAGAGAGAGAGAGAAAAAGAAAAAGAGAAAAAGAGAGAGAACGTAAAGATAGAATGAGAGAACAGATGAAAAATTGATTGAATGGGTGAGTGAATAAATAAGAAAGATCGAGTTGGAAAAAGAAAGTGAATGATTGTGTGAGACATTGAAAAGGACTAAAAGAATGAATGAAAGAATGATTGAATGAGAGATTGAATGAGAGATTGAATGAGAGTGAAAAAGTAAAAAGACAAACGAAAGATAGAGTGATGTTTAGAAAGTCTGAAAATGAATGAAGAAGTATAATTTCTCATTCATTCATTCTCTCCCTCGTTCAGTTCGAAGCAATTTGTTGCTTCCCGGTTCTTTTCATGACCCATTACGAGCAGTGATAGCAGTGCATGTACATACACGTGTGTATTTGCGTGTGTGTTTGTGTGCGTGTCTGCGTGTGCGTGCGTGCGTGTGTGTGTGTGTGATGGCGATAGTAATTAAGATGATAATAAATAAATAACGATGATGATGATGATGGTGATGACGACCGACGATGAAGCCGGCGATAATTGGCGTTCTAAAGTTCGATTTTTATGGTGGAAAATAAAAAAAGGCATGCATGTAAATAAAAACACATCGTTATCACCATCAGCCTCAAAACCATCCTCATTCCCCTCTTCATCATCATCATCACCATCATCATCATCGTCGTCGTCATCATCATAATCATCATCGTCGTTGTCGTTTTCGGCAAAGGTAGCAGCAGCTTCACAATCGTTAGAAGCAACAGCAGCAGCTTCAACATCTTCATCATCATCATTATTATTATTATTATTATTATTATTATAATTATAGCTTACCCTCTGATTGCCATATAGATCTGCAACGTACTGCCAATGAAAAGCGTCCAGACTGTATGTCACCATGAATGACGTCACCCATTCCTTACCGTCACCTCGACCCTGGGTCATCACCCCGGACACCTGAGTAAGTGAGTGAGTGAGGAGTAGTAGTAGTAGTAGTAGTAGCAGTAGTAGTAGTAGTAGTAGTAGTAGTAGTAGTAGTAGTAGGATTAGTAGTAGTAGTAGAAAAAGTAGTAGTAGTAGTTGTTGTTGTAGTAGTAGTAGTAGTAGTAGTTGTCGCAGTAGTAGTAGTAGTAGCAGTAGTAGTAGTAGCAGTAGTAGTAGTAGTAATAGTAGTAGTAGTAGGATTAGTAGTAATAGTAGTAATAGTAGAGCAATTAACGAAGCAAAATTGAATAATCTGAAAATATGTTGGGATGGATATTGAAAAAGACACTAGGTGATCGAGTGCAACTTGTACGTGTGTGTTTTTGTATGTGTCTGTGTGTTTGTACCTGTGTGTGTGTTTGTATGTGTGTTTGTATGTGTGTTTGTACGTGTTTGTGTGTATGAATATATGAATGTATCTTCTATAAATTTAAATGTGAAATTAATGAATAATTTTGACGAAAGTGAATTTCAATTCTTAAGACAATATTACAAATTTGCGACTACTGCTGCTGTGGCTACTACCACGGCTACTACTGCTGCTACCACTGCTGCCACTACTGCTGCTACTACTGGTTTTGCTAGCGTTAAAAATACCTTTAAGATTTTAACAGTAAGATTTTATTTATTTA